ACAGGTCTGGTTCTGGTAGGTCGGCGCTAGAGATGCGTGATGATGATAAAGAGGGGATGAGCCTACGGTAACCCCACTTACACAACGATCACAAAAATCTAGATAGTGTGTTTGAAGAAGTTATAAAAAAAACGATTTACAAATAATATTTCAAATTATTTTCTAAGTGAGATTGCTGTTTTTTCAAATCATGACATTTTATTAGCTAATTCGTAAATATAGTACAATTACTTAATAAAAAAGCTTAAGTTAATAATGCTTATATGTATTAACGTTTATTAAACATCATTTTAAAAGATACAGCTATATAATCTCGACATCATATGAGTCGCATAATTTTGCCAATAAAATTGAATGAGTAGAGCGCGGTCGGACCAAAGTCGCTGTTGTGTAAACGGCCTAATAAAAACTGATTGATGTATTAACTTTGGGTTATCATTTCATTAAATGGCTAGTGGCCAGTGTTATTTAAAATATAATTTTGAAAAAAGAACGTTTACATAGTTTTTTTTATGAATTAATTTTGAGCGAGCCATTGTTTTTATTTGTTTAAATTACATCGTCTTAGGAATTTTCTAATTTTAGTCTTAATTTTAATCATCAATTTGTGTGAGAATAGAAAAAAATGGCATGCTAAGTATAGTAAATTATTAGTATACTGCGAGTTTTATTTTGAAATAAATCAAGCTAAATACATCCTCCGCATTGAGCAAGCGTGGTGATTAATGCTCTAACCTTCTCCGTGTGAGAAGAGGCCTTTGCTCAGCAGTGGGCATTTCTAGGCTCATGATGATGATGATGATGATGAAATACATCCTCCATTAAAAGTAGTAAAAAAATGTAAACTTTCGCGTTAACTATTACATATAATTACGCTGGTATAAACGCGAAAAACAATTATTTATATACCTTGGTAGGTTTGGTGTTTCGACCTGGTTGCACAGGTCGTGATTGCAAGCAGCCTACCAAGGTACCTATTTAAATAATTATTTTTCACTTTAACACACGCGTAATTATATGTGGTAATAAAAATTGTTAGCTCAATTTTTATTTTATTTCTTTTCGAATGCCAACTGGGTCTTCAACAAAATGTTATTTTTTTTAATACGCCTATGCTTATTTAAAAGATATCAATCTATCATACAACTTGACTGTATAGCGACTATCAGAAACAATCGTGACTATTAAAAAAGAATATTAAATTCTTCATCGGTTAGTTTTGCACTGCAAAAAACCTGCAGCAGGAAATTGATGGTTGGTGGTGCATATGGTTGCATACAGTGCGATATTGCAACGTTGTCGTGCACCGTTAGTTGTTTCATTTTTCTAACTAACCACGCAGGTCATATAATAGTGTGCTCCCATGATACGGAAAATTGTGCGTAGTTTAAAATTATATCGTGCAGACAGAGTTGGATTTTTGTAAAGTGAGATTCAAATCATTCATTTTAATTAGACTATTACTATAGGAATTATTGAACGAAACCCATACGCGCTGAAGCCTAATGAAATAGGATTAATGAGCCAGAAAAAATGTTTACCTCTATTTTTATATAATTTAATAAATTTATTATCTTTTAAATTATTTAAAAATAACACTATTAAGTTCAAATTTATTTTGGATTTGGCATAGCTAATTAAAAAGGTAATAAATGTTTTATATTTGACGTTAAGTACAGTCACAGTGATTTTGAATTATTGAAAAAGTTTCGTACTTAATATATAACAAAATTTTTAGCTGCGTTTTCATATTCTCCTTCGTCTCTATTGCAGAATAAAAAAAAACATTGGTTAAAATCTGAATTCCAAATTTAAACATGTGGTTTCACATTCAACTTTAGTTGTCAACATTAAGAATTTAAGCCTCTTGAACATAGTTTTTTTTCACTCTTAAAATATATTTAACTTTGGTAAGAGACGGTTTATATTTTTTTTTTATAAGTATAAATTGAAACAGTGTAGTGGTGTCGTAGGGTATTCCAATCTCAAATATAAGCTGATTCAAAACTTAATATCGAAGAAATCGTATCAAAACTATCAAGAATTTTTTCTTAACAAAAATGCGAATAATTTTTAAAGGTCACCCTTTAATTTAGATAGTGTCAAATAAAGGGTTAAAATGCATCTTATCTCTATTTAATGTGTACTATTAACTTGCTAGACCAATTTGGACGGTCGTAAAACTGTGTTATTAGACACATTAATCTAACAAAATGTTTTTATTCAAAAACTGATAAGAATAAATTTTTGGCCGCGAAAAAAATATAATCATTGCAAAATGGTTAAAAGTCTTTATTGTTGAAAGTTATCAGTGCATCCCTACTAATATTTAGTATAAATGAAGTAGTGGATGGATGTTTATTACTTTTTTACGTAAAACTTCTGAATCGGATATCTAGGTATTATTAATAGTCTGAATTAACTGAACTGCTGAAGCTGGCAGAGCCAACATAATAGATTATAGTAAGTATTACGTGAATAACTGGACTAGACAATGTTTTAATCCTCCCTAAGTAAAGTGTTAATGAAACTTTATTTTAAAATTTCCGAATATAAGTTTTTTCTACAAGTTCCTAATATTTATATCATCATCATCTTCCTGCCCTTGTCCCGTTTTGTTTGGGGTCGGCGCAATATGTCTTTTTCTTCCATTCTGTCCTGTCACTCGTCACGCTTTCGCTAACTCCTCTGTCTTCCATATCACTTCTTACACAATCCATCCATATTTTCTTTGGTCTCCCTCTACCTCTCCATCCATCCACATTTATACTCGTGGCTTTTTTAAATTAAATTCCTAATATTTACATATTATCTGCAAAAAAATACTTATTCATATTAATACACTTTCATTGATGGGATTAAATAATATACCAGTGAATAATGGGCTTCAAATTAAATTATGTTTATTTCTACTATCTCTCTCTTCTAATATTATATTCTACATATCGAATTATAAGGTACTAGGTATTCCACGCAGTTTTACCCGGCTAATTTATTTATAGCCTATGTCACAAGGAATATATTCCCGATATTGATAGTTTTTTTTTCTAATCGGTCAAGTAATTTTTGAGGTTTCTACAATCCAAAAAAACAAACAATCAAGTATTTTCTTATTATAATATTAGTATGCTTACATAACACGCAAGATAAATTTTAAAAATAATTCTAGCATAGAATTCAGATAAAAATACTCTAATCCAACACGATCAAGTCATGAATAAAAACTCCTTAGTATTTTATACAATATTAAAAATATTGAATGTAACTTAACTGTAAGCCGCAGCTTTACCGCAAGTTAACGTTCTTGACCATTAAAGTCTGAAGGTTAACTCAGTAGTAACTTGTAAGAAGGTCGCAGCTTCGAGTCCCGGCGGAGAGGTTTATGAAATTGTATTGGCCTCGCTATGAGTCTGTGGGACATTGACTTGATAAATGAAATAAAGAGTTATTTTTTTTTGATAAAATTGTTGAAGAAAATATATGAAAATCGCTTTTAGTGTAGGACGGATTAACTTTATTTTGAAAGACGGTATGGTATATATTTATTTTTTAACCACTTGTCAGCGACTGTAATGTTATTATAATTGAATGTGTACCCATCACCACAAAGTATAAAACAAAGTTGCTTTCTCTCTCTATATATCGCTAAGTATGCTTACATCTTTAAAATTGCGCAACGGATTTGGTTACACTATTTTTAAAGATAGAGTTATTGATGAAAATGGTTTTTTTATGCGATAGGATGGAAAATGTGAAGACGGATTGGGGAGGAATCGGGGGAAGGAAAGGATTGGGGAGGAATTGGGGGAGGGAAAGGATTGGGTCCCCGGTAACCGATCTTCTGTGCGGTCGTGGTATAACTTCGATCGAGCTGGCCCATTCGTGCCGGTACGAAAACAAATGACAAAACAATTAAAGCCAAAAACATTTATTTCAACTAAATAATATTCAGATTATTTCGAAACATCAAAAAAAATATACTCAGTCTGTTCGTAAGTGAAATAAGATTTCAATGGATAAGAAAGAGAAAGAGTCAAATGTTATTCTTTTTAAATCATATTACAATCTCACTAATACACTCTTTAAAACAATATATGTAGTATCTACATGTTAGAACAATGAATCATCATAATAATATGAACAATGGCATGCGAACATAGATATCCCCAAAAACATTCAGATCGACTCGTTGGCTGCGACGCGACATGTAATTCCTTTACAAAATATAAAGACGCGGGTATTAACGCGAAAATTTAATACTTTAAATACCTTAGAAGGCTTGACGTCTTGACCTGATTGCGCAAGAAGACTGCTTGCGACCACGACCTTTTCGCGTTAATACCCGCGTATTTATGTTGAAAATTATATGTTCTAAACAGAAAACGCGAAAGTTGAAAAGTTAGTGTAATTCCTTCCCTAAACCTTACCAAAATCAAAATCGTTTATTCCAACTTAACCATAAACAAGTTCTTTTTAAACGTTAAAATAGAATATAGTCAATCAGTCTGATCATCTGTGAAGCTAGGTGCTCGAAACCCGATGCAACAAAATTAGTATAGACAAAGATATTTTATTACAAGTTCATTATCATCATCATGATCATCATCAGCCTATAAGTGCCGCCTGCTGAGCAAAGGCCTCTTCTCATTCGGAAAAGGTTTGAGCTTGCTCAAAGCGGATTGACGATTTCAAATTTGTAATTAGAAATTATAAGTCCAAGTTTCCTCACGATGTTTTCCTTCACCATATTTATTGCCAGTGGTGTCTAAATAATCATAAAAAGTACGTATATGGTCATGGTTTTCAAGTTATAGTCGGAAAAAGAGACATTGGTACATGCCAGGTTTCAAACCCGCACTCTCATGCATGAGAAGCAGGCGTCTTACTCACAGGGCCACCACGACTTACAAACATAATATAATGCAAAAAGAATTTTTCCCCAATCTAATATGAAATGAAATTGCAACAATGTACTTACCTAATTAATTTTATTTTCGCAGGTATCCATGCAGTTTTCCAAATAGGACGATATCAAAATCCAAGATGGTGGTCGTAAGCAAGCAGCTGTTTGATGCAGCGTGCCGTGATGTCCACTGCAGTGTTATGACCCATCCCTGGAACGAAAGCTGTCTCAAAGCCTGTCCAGGGTTGTATAAGGATGCTGTTATTGGAAGTGCGAAGTTCTATTCCATTATATACATTGTGAGTATCTTATTGAGAAGAAATTTCTAAAATATTCTTTAAGTGTAGTCACGCCAACATTTTTTTGTAATTTCGTTACATTGTTAAGTAATTATAGTATTTAAAATTAGAAAAAAATACGTCAGTGTACTGGCTATAGGTTTATCTCTACACCACCCAAAGCTTTGACTGGTTGAAAGAATGGCTGTGGCATTGAAATTCTCTTAATCGAAACTAATATTATAAATGCGAAAGTAAGTCCGTCTGTAATTCTATCTTTTCTCCACGCCTAAACTACTGAACCTATTTGTGTGAAATTTTGTACATACATAGTTTGGGACTCGAGAAAGGACATAGGATAGTTTTTAAACCAAAAATCTCCAGGAAGTTACCATTCCACGCGAGCAAAGTTGCGGGCAAGAGCTTATTGGTGATATTTTTATGATGTACATAAGCGTATTAAATATTTTTCCTTTATAATTTTAACCTCGTGATTGTCTCTTAGGGAGACTGAGGTCGATACAATAATCACAAAATGGTATGAATTAAAGCAACCAGTTTTTTAATGTGTAGGGCGATAAAGTTAATATAATATAACCTGTTGACTGGCTGGGCAACCGGCTGCCGTGCAACGTGTTGCGGGTTCGATTCCTGCACGAATTAATAATTTGTGGATCACTCAAAGAGCTGTTTTAGGTCTGGGTGTGATGTATACAAGAAATTATTTGTTTGTAAACGCACCCACGTTCCAGAAAAGAAAATCCAGGTGTAAGGCAAGGTTTATTAAAAAAAATCCTGATGGTAAGCGATCAGCGCCGCCGATTGACAAATTAAACACCAAATGAGTTATCCTCGTCTGGTCAAAAGTAAAATACATTAATTTCAATTAGACCCTTACAGGCACTTTTGAACGTCAAATAATGCTTAGAGATAAAAAGTTTATAGTATTTATTTCATTCATTTTTATGTTTTCAAATAATTCAAAATATTAACAACCAAGATATTTTTTAATACCTATATTCTATAGCAGGGGAGCCCAGGATGCTAAATTTGTAGTTACTCAAGCGTCGTAGGAAGAAACTGGATTCTGAAGATTTGGTGATAGAAAGAAAAAATGGCCTAATGACATTTCATTCCTCCGGTGGGGAAAGAGGGGAATGATAGTTTTCCAAAATTGAAAGATGTAACTTTTGTTTTAGTGCACGAGCGTGACAGATATTAATAATGTATATTCTCCATGTATCTCTGACAGTGAAAATATTTTAATCTGCCGAATTGCGTGGTGGAGTTGGCTAACTAAGGGGATAGAAACGGGACCCGTTCAAAACTCTATTGCTGTTGTAAACGACGATGAAATCGGCAGATTTTTTAAACGCCCTTTTATTTGACATGACATCTACCTTTTACCCTCTAAGTTGACGAAAACGACTGTATTTCGTTATTTTTATATTGAAGTTCCCCCCCCCCCTCCTCTGTTTAAATTAAATATATGATGGATATATTCAATAGGTTACTAAATATTCCCCATATGCTAATCTGACGCGCTCGAGTAACTATCGAAATTCCTTCATGGGCTCCCCTACTAGTACAGGTTAAGATCTCAGACGATATTTAAAATAAGATAATGCTACCTTTATTAATACAGCATATTAATTACATTGCAGGCTCAGATCCTAATGCGAGGTAAGAAGATGATGAAGAAAGATCAATGGATCAAGATGGGTGAATATTACGTGCGATCTACCATGTTAGGGTTAATGGTCACATCAGTAGCTCCCAACATCAGTTGTTTTATTAGGTAAGGTATGTGAACGTTTTCTATTTAAATTTTAACGAAATCAAGCTCTTTTTTTATTATAACTTTCGTGAGATATTCTAAATTAATTATTATGTTTTCGGCTTACTCACGTAATAATTTACACGCGACGCGTGTCGCGAAATGCTGCTCATGAATATGGGCCTCTAGCATGGCTTGAAACTAGTCGAGTATCTCGTCAAATTATTACGTGAGTAAGCCGAAAACATAATAATTAATCAAATTAAGCTCAATACTAATAATAAAATGTGGTGGTGGTTCGGAGGTTAGGACGCTAGCTTCTCATGCATGAAGGTGCGAAACCTGGCAAGTACTTAGCTTCACTGACGAACAGACTGACAGACTATTTTTCTATTTTGACGTTTTAAAAGAACCCATTTACGGGACTTTGAAAGTACCTACCAATGTGACTTTTTCCGAAGTTTAAGTAAGTTCTATGATTATACTTATAGTCGCTAATGGCATACGTTGAAGAAAAACATCGTGACAAAACCTGGAAATTATAATTAATAATTAGATGTTTTAAATTATGCCGAAGCCGCCAATCCGCCTTGGGCAAGCATGATGATAAATGCTCAAACCTTCTGCGTGTAAGAAGAGGATTTTGCTCAACAGTGAGCACTGAAAGGCTGTTCATGTGTGAATCTCAATCAATTATTATGTTTAGAATCCTTGATTTTTTAAAAGCATTCTAAATAGAACCATGCTTTAGCAATTTTCAGAAAACAATTTTTGTTATAATTGATTTTGAGTTTGTTTGAACGAAATTGTCAGTAAGGAATGGTTTAACCAATAATTAAATTCATTATATGTATACTTATGTAAAAATGTTAAGTATTATTAGAAGTGCTTTATGTTTTTTTGTTTAAATTTATTACTGTTTTATAAATAGATATGTATAGGTATATAAAAATAGTGACTAGTATAAAATGTCTTGCGTATAAAGTCATTAAAAAAATAAATATAGATATTTAGTACGACAGTAATAGTCTTTAATTAATGATAACATATTCTCTTAAATTAATCACAATCAAAACGGTGATGACAATAAACATTTACTAAATAAATCTGTAGTTAATTACACATTACATTCAATGTTGAAAATGCTTCATTAGTGACAATAGAAGTGAATTCACGTGGAAAAGTTAATGAATAACATTAATGTATTTTATATACTATATGTCGTAGTGGCCCGGAGGTAAAGGAACATGCTTCTCATGCATGAGGGTGTGGGGTTCGAAACCTGGCAAGTAGGTACCAATATGACTTTTCCCAGTTATATGTACTTTCGGTGATAGTACGGTGAAGGAAAACATCGTGAGTAAAACCTGAACTTATAATTTCTATTTATAAGTTTGAAATTGCCAACCCGCATTGAGCAAGCGTGTTGATTAATGCTCTAACCTTCTCCGTATGAGAAGAGGCCTATGCTCAGCAGTGGGCACTTATAGGCTGATGATGATTATAATTTATACAGATATTTTTTAAACTAACAGACAGTAACAACAGGCTACATTATCTTTAGAAATTTTCTGAGCGCATTGTGTAAGTTTTCCTAACATTAACACAAAAGAAATGTATCCGCGTTCAACCTTTTGATAGGTTAGTTAACTTTGAGTAGGCCAATCAGAGCTCCAAACTTAATAAGTATTTCGATTGCCTTTACTTACAAACTTGCTTAAGGCATTATATTTATTTATGTGAATATTTTTGTGTATAGTAACTATTTTGTGAGGCATACTTAATTCATCGAAAATACTCACTTAATCACTTGATCACCTCTACTTGTTTCAAATCACAACGGGACTCTTATTCATGGCGCGCCGAGGTCGTGCAGCCGACTCATTCAGTTACACGACTTCGCCTTTTCTCATTAAGTTCATGTGAATAAGATGTTATTTTCAATGAATTTAGGTAGGTAAATATAAAGGTTATTATTAAAATGTGTGCTTGTATGACTTGCCCACAAAACTATGAGCATTATTTTTAAATAGTGGCTATCGTAGACATACTACATTTATTTTATTGAAAACTAGCTTGGAATAGTAACTTCCTGCAGATGTCCTTTCTCGAGTTCCAAACTATGTCAATACCAAATTTCACAGAAATCGGTTCAGTAATTTAGGCGTGAAGAAAAGACAGACAGACAGAGTTACTTTCGCATTAATAATATTAGTTAGTATAGATGACGACTTACTCATGTGAACTAACCACGAAACTAACCGAGAAAAGCTGTAATTCAAATTCCGTTGTGACATACAAACAAAAAACTACATAGGTACAAAAAAGCACAAATTTTTTTATTGTTGTTCCAGAAAAATGTTAGGAGATCGATTTTATCCTTCAACGTATTTGTTCATACCTTTTGCTGTGTGCGGTCTCTTCATATACTTGGAGCCACCAAGCAGAAGAGGATTGGTCATTAATTTGTTTTGTAACTTGGTAAGTAGTTTATATTGTCTTTGTTATCAGTGGTTAAAGGTTGGACAAAATAGAACTTAGTAGTATCAAGTGCGAGAGAGTCATACTTCGACACGAATAGGCAAACTGGACTGCAGTGCCTACAGAGACCTACAGATAGTGGTCCACAGAATGAGGTTATCGCACGCCCAACCTTCTTTACCCTTATCCTGAATACCCAAATCCACAATCGTCAAATCTCTAACCCGCAAAGGGCTGGCACTTGTAACTCTAGGATATCCCGAGGCATCAAATGAAGCGTCGGTTTACATGTCATTTGCACATATCATATAACTGGTCGGGTAATTGTGATTAAGGATTACGAAAAGCCTTTTACAGAATACGAGTCATTTCAGTCTATCGGCTTTATTACAGAACAAGGTTTTTTTTTAAGTCTAGCTCTAAACCATTGAAACAGTTTTTTGTATTTTGAAATGGAGGTAGATGAGAATAAAATTCAAAATTCGAAACTAGACTATAGGTTTATACCTAGAATAAAGATAAATTTTGTTTTGCAATAAAGGAGTAAAAGTCCAACTTCATAAGTTCATAAAATTATAATTATTACTCCCTACATTTTGGTACTACTTTATAAAAATTATTTAAATTTGAACATTTGAAAAACCATAATCCCATTCTAAAACATCAATATTTCGACATAATATATTATTAAAAATAGACGTAAGAATTTATCATGGAGAAAAATATATGATATTTTCTCGAACGTTACGCTCTTTTTCACGGTCCAAGAGACATCAAGTCATGTATGTTGAATCGTCAGAAATGTTCAAAGATGTCCACCTGACACGTGTACTCAGCTTTGTAGGGAGAGATGTCTTAACTATATTATATGTACATACATAATATATCGATTTAATGTTGTTATGTTCTAGTTTTTATTGTGGGTCAAAATCTCTCATTGCGATGGATGATAGTTTTCAAGTTTTATAATTACATATAACAGATTAAATACCACCAGTAAATAAGTACGTGTGATATAGTAGATAAGTTAGCGAGCGGACAGATGTATATATGTATAATATCTGATGGAAAGCTATCGGCCCTGCGATGAACACCCGCAACACCAAAGGAGTAATAAGTGCGTTGTGTTGCATGAGCGATTTTAGCTTAGGCTGCGTCAACATAGAACTTTTATCATTAACTAAAAAAGTTTTTTTTATAATACGGTAGTTTCCAACTAGTCAAATTTAATACTTTTATCCAAATATTAAAAACGATACTTTTCTATTAAATTTGTATAAAAACTGAGTTATAACGTCATAGTTTTTTTTGCGTGAAATAGTTTACTTTTTTCTTAAAAATTAGCTAAACAGTATACAAATTTCGGTGAACTGGTCGATCGATGAATAAGAGTATAGTTATTTTTTTTATATTTTATTGTATTGGAACGTCGATTTAATTTATTATTAACCAAGGAAACGACCCATTCTCAAAAAAAAAAATAACACTGAGCTTTAACTAAAATCAAACAATAACGGATTCCAGGTGATCGAGTACTACATAAAAGTTCTGGAAAGAGCTGGATTTCCTTCTGTGACGAGAACGCATCAGACGCTGATGTTCATGTTGGGCAGTTCCTTGTTATTCTACCTCATGAGGCTTGAAGGAGACAAAAAGGAGAGAACTCCATTGTTTTGGTAAGTTTTATTTTGAATAGGTCTTTTAGCCATCTGACGGATATCCTAATGGTTAGCCATCGATACCCCCATTGACACCTTATAAATGTAAAACATACTTTATTTGTTTATTTTATTTTTATTTATTTTACAAATTTTAGGTAAACTCACAACTGATCAGGTACAGTATAGTTCATAGCCAATTATAAGTTTTCACAGATATAAAAGTAGACATAGGTAAATAATATAGAAAGTAGCCAAAAAAGGAACAAAACTTATGTTGAATATGAATTACAAAAAAAAACAAAGACTAATTTACGTTATCGAAGAAGTTTTCGCTAAGAATATTTTTTTACATATTTACATGAGTGTTAAAAAGATCGATCTCAACGTCCCGGCTAGTCGAATTGGACACACGATTTACTAATTCTATTCTTGCGCTACGAAAAATGAGTCCTGTTGAGACTTGCAATTGGTAGCACTTTATACAAATAAATTCGTGAGTAAGTTCTTATCATTAAACAGTATAAAACAGAGTCACTTTCTCTGTCAGTTTATCCCTATGTATGCTTATATCTTTAAAACTGCGCATCTGATTCTAATGCAAATTTTTATAATTAAATTGATTGAAAGGTTCAAAACAAGTAGGAAAAGTGAAAGGTATTTTGTTCTAAACCGTCACCACGTATGGCTCTATTAACATATTAATTTTACAGTTACTTTCTTGTAACTAATAAAAAACACGTGTCAAACTATGATAAATAGATTAGCAAAAAGAAGTTTTAAAAATGTATGGTAAGATGCGTTGTCATTGTTTGTCCCGAGATGACATTATCCTATGTAATGAGGAGTAATATTAAAAAAACAAACATTTTTAATAGTAGATAATAAGAAAACACATTACAAATTATGAGCTTTATTGAAACAATGAAACATTGTATTAAACAATGCGAAAATGCCATAATTTTAATATTCATTGCTGCATTAGAAAATAGGGATGTAATAATAATATTATTTAAATTAAATTTATTATTATTTTATTATTAAAATATATATATTTTAATAAATTTAAGCGAAAAAGAGATATGACCAAAACGAAAGTAAAATGCTCTGTTATAATCTTACAGGAATTTAAAAAAAATTACATGTATTTTTTTCTCAGTACATTTTATTTTTATATACCTACCGATGGTTATAATTTTGTTGGCTGTTAGTAGATAGAATGTAGTAAATACATTGACAAAAATGTTATTATCTCAATAATCATTGCTGTCAAAAAATACAAATATAATAATCATATTTGTATTTGTAATTTGTGAAACTAAAATACAAAACAATAGCAAAAATCTAGTTAAACTTTAATAGAATGTAAAAAATGTTCATGTAACAATAACAATACACACATACCTACCGCCGGCTATAATTTCGTATAATAGCCTGATGGCCGGTGGTAGATAGAAAACAATGAATGCATTGACAACAATGTCATAGTTGGTTGAATAAACATTATTATCAGACACAGTTCGTTGGCACTACGTATCTAATCAGCGTCAGCGTCCGGCCTTTCCTGTGTCAAAGTCCGTTCCACAGGTGTTGAGGTGATCTCCTTTGTTTTGCATATTGACTACCAAATAATAATTAGATTCCATAGCTTGTCATACATGAGGTTACTGGTTCAAAACTTAGGTAGATACTAAAGTGAACCGGACTTTGTACTTTCTTAGATTATTTTGACACCACTGGCAGGAGGTGAAGGAAAATAAAGAGATCTAAGATCATATTTTTTATTATAGGTAAGTTTGAAATCGTCAATCCCCGGTAAAACAAGTGTATTGATCAAAGCACACTTTTTTTTCCACGTATAAATACGAGGTTGCGGGGCAAGCGCAATGAGGCACCGCGACCTCAGCTCAAAGCAGGAGAAGGAACGGGGAAGTTTTTAGTCAGTAAGAGTCTGACACTCTCTCTCGCCTTACCCCGGGCGGGAGATGTCATTTGACAGTTACTGCCTAATTATTTTTGTGGAGGTTCGCAGCAGCCTATACGACACATTAAATCATACATAATATTTTGTAAGTACCTATAGCATATCTATAGGTCTGGTATTGAAGATGAAATTACAAGGCTTTTAAATAAAAAAGTAATAATATTATTTGCACGAAAGTATATTATTTTGATCCTAAACAAATATTTTGATAGATTATAATATGACAGTACAGTATACTTACTATTATTTGTAGTTTGTAGGACATGATTTTGTTTACTTTAGTCAAGTTTAGCAAATTATAAAGATAAGAAACGCAGTTGTTTGTGTACTTGTGATATAAACTTTAGTTCTGTTTTTACTATTTTCATACTGCTGTGGTTTTGTCCTATTAAGGACAAAAACAATTAAAGACGTCATGGGTCAATTATAAAGAGATTTAGTTTTAAAAAAAGCCTTTCCTGACTTTAGAATTTTCTTCTGTTTACCAACATATGTGTATAATTTGAGGTATACCGCACGGAAATGGAACTTGTGACACGTTGCACGGTAGTCGGTTGCCTAGACACCGCGTCTAACTGTGCAGCCATTCTGTTTAGAATATTTTGGATATCAAAAAATGTTGACTAAAGTACTACCTAGTCCACATTAAGAACTATTTTTCGTCGACAACGCTCTTGAAGATGATTATTTTTTGTAGATGTATATTTTTATTTTATTTTTGGAGTTGGGGAAAGGTGCTCTTATAGAAGTTACTCTTATACAATTTAACATCCACTGCACTTGACGTAAGTGCAACTTCCGAGTAAGAAGCCCCGAGTACTCAACCTACTAGGAAGTCTTAGAAAATATTTTTTTTTTTTTTTTTTGATAAAGTAATAATATCTCGACTGTAATTTTTAAGACTAAAAATAATGTTTTGGACTTTAATAATATAAAAGTTTCCAACTCGCCCTATCTATAAACGAGGTCTCATTCAAATCTACGTTTTGTATGTTTCAGGCTATTTACTCCAGAAAAAGTAAAAAGAAAAACAATTGAATCGGAAAGTCCCTGTCCCCATAAAGGGAAATGTGAAAAATATATTGCAAAGGTAAGTTTTAATTGTATTATTACTTGATTATCCCATAATCTAGAATTCAATATCAAAGTGAGTTTTCGTGTTGCATTCGTTTCATTTTCTCTTGGAGAGAGTAGAAAATAAAAGGATAATTTTATGCGGAAATAATCCTAATCTCATTGTCTAGGTTACGATAAGTTAATGTGGACTATGTGGGTGGTGTGTAACTAATGGGATTATGTTGATTATGGGATTATATTTCTCGATTATGTTGTAGTACGGCAAACAAGTGGATTACCTGATGGAAAGCAACCGGCTAAGCTCATGGACATTTGCAACACCCGAGGGGTTACGAAGACGTTGCTCGCCTTTTGGGGATTAGGGTTTCAGAGATTTAGAGATTAGGGACTGATTGGTTCATTGGTTGTCTCTACAGTAACCTCCTCAATCTTCAGTAACTTATACGGCAGAATTCAACGCGAATTTACGAGTTTTTAGTAAAGAAAGTGTGAAAGAATGCTTGTTTGTACCGATTATGTTTCGCCTAGTACGGTAAGTGACTTCAGTAGAGTCTTCAAAAAAAGCTTGCAGCGAGCTTGTAACTCCTCTTATGTTGCCATTGGTTAAGCCTCAAGTGATCATCTTGTGATGCGCTGAACACTATCCATCAGTTTACCCTTACGATCATCGGATCTCTAACGCTTAAAGTAAAAAAAATGCCTCACAAATTTATATTCATTCTTCTTTTGTTTTCCAGGGCTTCGCCACATATTTTGGAGTTGGTCTCGGTATATCCTTAGCGAGACTGATCCTACCAAAAATAAGTACTCCAATACGGGCCATTTCGTCAATCAGAAGCAAACATTTCAAGTTGGCAATGTTCTTCGGCAGTTATATCGGTATTTACAGAGTACGACTAATTTAGTTTGTATAATTAATTGAAATATAATTACATATTAACTAAAATCTTAGTATTAAGACATATTTGTAAATATGATTTTAAGCGCATAAGTGTTTCTATAATGCTTATCAGTACTTCTGAATTCATCACTATTGTATTCAGACCGGAAAGATGCAATTGGCGAGTCATCGTTTGACATGAACAAGCTATTGATGGAGGGGAAGGTCTTCGTTCAGAATTGGACGACTTCTGATAATGGTGATGATGGCATTTCAACAGTTCACAATAGTTCACCATTGGACTATTGACGTTTTGTCACATAAGAGATCGGATAATAAATGTATAATGAACGACTAGTCTAGCAGACAACTAGACTCTTTCATATACCTAGATTTAATTACATGATTGAATTAAAATTAACAAATCACAGTTTATATTAGACCTTACCTCAACTATAAAGTACCGAAATAGTTTAGACCTTTCTGCCTATCCCAAAAAGGGGAAAAATATGCGTGTTGTTATGTAATGCTGTTAATCGACGTCACAGGAGTCAGCCAAGTGTAACAGTGCGGAAGTTCTGGTTAGAGCCAACTGCATACATTGTGACGTATAGCTCTCGTTCCAACTTTCGCCCCGCTAACCACTTTGATCAAAAATTCAAACTGATTAATACTCGCTCTGTGTGGAGAGGTTGTTTTAGTTTAACGGTCAATGTAATGGTATTTGGATTGGGTTGTTTCCTCGGTTGAAGAGAAATCATTTCAACTTATAAAACTATAAAAATACTTAAATATAATTAAAGGCTTATTTATTAATTTTAAATAAGCCTTTGATTATATTTACAAATTCACATAAAAATGTAATTTGTCAAGTTGCAAACTACCCTATTATTTAATAAACAAGTCTACACTTATTTTTTCCAATCCAATCAGCTGGCCAGATTAAGTAAGGCATTAGGGTCCTGTTTTTCGAAAATTCAAGTATGTAGACAAGTGTCAACTATCTTGTACCTACAGTTGCATAGGAAGAAAAGGTACTAAACTCCTGCATTCAAAGTATAGTCAACTTTATGACTAACAAATTTAAAATTAATTTATCTTTTAATGTACGACGGTGTGGGCAGTTAACGAAGAGTCCCATGTAACAAAAAGCGAGTCTACACAAAGAAACCTTTTGAAAACGTTATTAATTATAATTTCACTTTCCATTACAGGCAGTGGTATGCTACTTGTGTCGTAAGAAAGGATTCGACTCGGCATTGTACGCGTTACCAGCTGGTTATGCCGCGGGAATATCATTCTTATTCAACCCTAGCTTAGGGTTGTCTATAGCGTCGTTGACTGCAGCATTTAAGGTATACTGATTTGGATTTTTTTATTGTATGAATACTTAATAAAGCCTAAAGAGGTCATAAAAAAACAAATATTAATTTAAACAAAATTAAAAGAATCTGAAAGAATGAGTTTTCATTTTCGATAATGTTGCTGAACGTCTGTGTTACAACCTTCATATAAATTTTCTATGAACGTATGTGGCACAGAGCACGTAGAACAAGATAGGTTCGATTTTCAAACTTGTAATTGGAGCATAGCGGTTGTTAATATTTTGTGATGAACCCCTACTTAACCAGGTTTCAGGACTGAAGCAGGTTAAAACATGCTTACTGTAAAACCTAGGGTTAAAATAAATGAAGAAGTATATTAAATACACTTTTTCTAGTCCTTTTTTTTAATCCTATATTTATTTTTAACTGTTTATTCATGATCATATTATTTTCGTTTCAGCTGTATTCAACGATTTTGTATGAAAAGAAAATATTGCCTTCAAACATACCCCTACCGGAGTTGTTATACTGTTTCTGCCAGGGAACTCTATTCAATGCGCGCATACTGGATCCTGATGCATGCCCCAGCTATGTGTTCAATCTTATGAAGTCTTGCAGTAATGGAAGGTTCGTATTTATTTTTTTACAATGGTATAAGATTGATTTTTGCGTGATTATAAGTGTATGTTAAACTATTTTTTATATTTTAGTAAGTCTAATATTAAAAATGATACATTGTAGTAGGTAGGTAGGAAAATAGTTAGGTACATAGTTTAAGTTTTATAAACCTGATAAAAAAAGAATATGTTATCTTTTTTTTAAGTTTATCTGACCTCTTTCTTATAAAAACCACCAAACGGTTCGAAATGAAAATTGGCATAAATATGATAGTCTAAAATAGCTCATAGGCTAATAGGCTAATACTTTCTAAGGTAGTAACAGAAGTCGGTCAAAATAATTTTAATTATTTGTCGTTTAAAAATGTAACAAAAGAAATAGAAAGCATAATAATATAGGTGTTTATTTATCATAGTACAGAGATCCCCATAAACCCAAACTTACATCATCTTAAAAAGTAATAATAAATTTCTTAGCACGAGCCATTTTTATTTCTTTATAGTAAGGTACTTTACATAGCCACCCATCATACTATGATTTATGATGACAGCTCATAGAAAGAGCGCGTCAGTGACCGATCACATTTTAATTTACTGATTATTTCTTGTTTTTATTCTTTTGTTTTCTTTTTTTTTGATCGATAAAGAGTCTAATGGCCGTTAGATTAAAACCTCTTTTATAAAAATATTTATATATTTTAGTTTTTTAAGGGTTTATGTTTTTTTTAAAGTCATTTTTGTGCTTTATGTCCATTCCGTTTTCAAATATGCAATATGACATATATCGATATTTATATGTTTTTTAAATATAGTTTTTTTAGTTTTCTCTTCTTAGTTTTCTTTTTATGGTGTTTTCATAACAACGGGTTTTAGTAATAATTAAAATTTAGAGCTTATTTATATTATTATATGTTAATATTGTAAGGTTATGTTCGGTTTTACATAAGAATTTCTGGGTGTAGGTCAATTTTGCGTTTCTGTAATTTCTGTAATATTGATTTCTATTTAAATTGTGTTTTCGTTTGTTACAGATCCGAACACGTGTTTAAGAGTTTCTCCGAAGTTATTCGCCGTGCGATGTAATAATAATTTAGAATAAGGAATTTTAGACCAAATACTTTTAATTACCTGGTTGTATTTAGGACTTAAAAGAAATCATGTTTTTGTACTATAACATTAATTATTATCACACATAGTAACCCAATTTCCATTAAGTTGACTATACCAAAGACAAAGAACTGTTTTTAGTGTAACTAGACATCTTTTTTGTGAAATAATTTATTTAAAATAATGACTTACTCACGGCAGGCAAAATCAGTTGGTTGCGCACGCTGCGCGAGAATGTAAGTCGTTATATATACAGTATACCATTTTAACATCCGCAAGGCTTTTTTTTACAAGAAACCGTCGTCGAACGCTATATTGTAACACTATCAACCTTTTTTAATCATTCAATTATACTAGAAGAATTTGTTTAGTTGTCAAATACCGTATCTGACGGTTTTGATATCTGATAAGGAATGAGGCAAAAAATAAATTGGTTTGTATATAAATTGATTAAGACTAAGATTGCTTACCATCAGGTAATCCTCTACTCGTTTGCCGACCTATTTATTAAAAAAAACTCATCGTTCGAACATAATAACCTCCTAGTGAAACAGAGCACTTCGTAAAGTAAGCCGCTCGTTCCAAATTTGAATGCAAAAGTGGTATTTTTTTTAATCCAAAGGGAATTTTGATGTTTATTCTTTTATTTTTACAGCGTTCACTTTATTGATTAAGTGTCTGTTGAATTTGATTTTTATATCGTTGCCATAAAAACGATTTTGTATTGAAAACAAAAATGGCTCATGTGCGTAAATTGTTACCTATTTTATTCAAAAATTGGGTAATAGTGTATGCAATATGTTAAATAATTTTAGGTTTTATCATTACTTACTTGATTGGAATTGAATTAATTCACCATACTGCTGAAATTCCAGAAACCAATGTTGCAGAAATTCTGCATCAATGTACCCTTATATGCATTTTTAAATAAAAGTAAACTTTATGACTTTATAATAAAATTGAAAATCTATCTTGTGAATTTGGGATATTTTGATGAGCCTTTTGTATATTACGTAATTATTTATTATAATTTTGTATTATAATAGGAATGTATTAATAAATACTTTTTGTTATACGGGTGATGAGTATCAATGGTTTTAAAGAAATAAAAAGTTTTTGATTTTAAATAAATGACATTGTTTTTATACTACCTATTCCTTTTTTGAAATAATACTTAATGTATGTATACATACATATGTTTTCGAAGATAAACGAAAAAAACTTTATATGGACCTGCGAAAGACTTTTACTCAACCAACCTCAACTCAACCAACCATGTAAATTAAATGAGACATGATTTCTATTACAGAAAATAGTATTTAAATATATTATAATATAATACAATATTTCTATAAAGATAATTATGTAATAGAAATTCTTTACAATTTTCTATAGTCATACAACTTTGGTTTAGAGTGTTATTTGGATGCGAAAGGTCCTAGCAGTAGGCCTGTTGATAATGACGACGACGAAAATTGAACCTTATAATCATAGAACTATCCTTATGTTTTTGTTGAATTTGCCTTGGTGGTACCTCGTTGCGAGCCACGATTCCGATTTGAATTTTCTGGGTTGATGATGATAACCTTCTTACCGCCGACAGTCGTTGAAGTTTTCTTAAATACATCAACATTTCCGAAGCGACATATTTGGTCACACTGTTAGATGAATACAAAGTAAAATTAATTTGATGAAATAATCTACTATTACCAACTAAATTGATTCTAACAGTTTTTTTGGCGCTAACCGAAAGATATACGCTATATATACTTTTCTACAAATTATTATTCAACCCTTTTTTTGTGAGGGAAAAACATTAAATTCTTCAGACTTCCGCTCAGGGTCGGGCGGGAGAGTGTTAGAATCTTACTGGCTAAAAACTCCGCCGTTCCTTCTCCTGCTCTGAGCCGAGGTCGCGGTGCCTCATTGCGCTTATCCCGCAACCCCGGCTGAGCATCAGCCCTATAGGGACCCGTCTGTGGTGGTCTATTGGCTCTTTGAGGCTCCGCGGAACTCAACGCGCCGTTCTCACGCGTATTGCGCTTACACCCACAACCCTAGCTGGAGTAATTAAGGCTAATCCTAGAAGACTTGTTGCAAGTGATGCTTATGCAGGGCGTATATGTATGTGTATGTCATTATTCCCTAAATAACTTAAGAATGGTTTTCTCTGAAAAGGGACAAAAATTATGACGTTTTTAGGCACATGTTTATAAGGATGATTTTTAAATATTACACACCTGTTCTTTACTGTAGAAATTATTCTTGTTTCCACCACAGCCAGAATATATGGTAGACTTGCAGACTTTCCATTTAGAGTCGTAAAAGTACCTCTCTGAGGCCCCAAAACAGAAACCATAATCAAAAGCAAGGCTGCAGTATCTCGGACGACGTTCTAAAATATAAAACGGTTTTTTAAATTTGCACTTTAAATTACTATTCAAAGAAGATTATTTTGAATGGCGTGTATATGCCGTGGCTACATGCTTCTCATGCATGAGGGTGAGCGTTCGAAAGTTCGAAACCTGCCAGGTACCAATGTGACTTTTTATATGCACTTTCTATGATTATTTAGACACCATTGACAAACGATGAAGTAAAACATCGTGATGAAGCCTGGGCTTATCGTTTTAATTATAAGTTTGAAATGGCCAATCCGCCTTGGGCAAGCGTTGTGATTACTGCTTAAATTTTCTCGTTGTGAGAAGAGGCCTTTGCTCAGAAATGGGCACTTACTGATGATGTGTAATGATGTTAATTTTATAGGAAAAATAAATTTAGGTTTAAGCTTTTTTCCGAATTTTGGAAATTAACTACTTACTTCCGGGCTTGCTCAAACAATAATCTAAGCACTCCTCATTCGAATCGAATCGATTACCATTCCCCTGACAGCCTCCCCAGGTAAACTGTTCACAAGACTTGGTTCCTGGATTGAAGTACCACATGGTAATTTTACTGCGACATGGCCCATTTTCAGGTATCAGCATGCAAGTTTTAGATGCCACTGTGAAATAAATAATATGCATGTAAACTTTCGATTGATACTGAAGTTCTGTTCGTATCAATATTAACCATTTGACTGCCGACAAAAACTATTGAAGGCTAATCCTCTGCTAGCGCTGGACACCATTGTCCGACATGGCGTTTTAAGTGAAAAGAGATCAAATTATTATTAGTGAAAAGAGTAAAAATGCAATAAAACTATAATTCAGAAAATTAAGTGTTCTCGACCGAAGTGATACAACGGTAAGTATTGCAGAAAAACGGCGTACAACAAACCACACAAACCACACAACCACACCACTGCAACATACTCGTAAGCCCTTCGTTGGTGCGGGTGTCTTTGTGTGTCCCTGATTGCTTACCATCAGGTAATCCGTCTGCTGTTTTTCCAAAAACTTGAATGTTAATTTAATGACTTGTGTGAAGTCGCTTAAAAGATTTGCTAGGATAGGCTATTAATCCTTTCCCCCAATACTCAATCTTCAAATTTCTAATAATGCACAAGACGCTAGCAACGCACATGTAGTTTTGGTATAACGAGTTTCCATAAGCGACGCTGCTTGCTTACCATCAGGTAATCCACATAAAAAAAAACTTTATAGTTTGTTATTAGTGGTAGTTACCATCAACCAAACAATAAACAGTGATTTTCCAATGGTATAAATTTAACAAGTCGATAAGAAGCTGAGGATTAAAAAGATAGGAGCCATTTACCAGTTGGATGATATTTTGTAAAAGTCTTAATCTCAGAAGGTATAAAATTTTTGAAAATTTTAACAGTTTCCACCCTTTGCACATTACAAACATACACATATAATGTCCACAGTAGAACTGATATCATTTTTTCAACGAATAACACATTCACAACGGCTGACTACACAGCGATTGCAATAAATATAAAATGCATTAAATATTTATTGCTTATTTTTTATTGAAAAATATTTTATACTTTTGAATTTATTTTATGTTTCTTTTATGAGCTGGCTGGTTTCTCTGCTATTTTTTTTATTTATTCCAATTCACATTTTTATTTGTTCAATCTGGTTACATAAAAGGTTGTATGGATTACAGTCTGGTTGACAAAATTTTATTAAATTTATATCTAATTTGTCGTCCTCACCAGTGAAACTAAGTCCTCAAACTGAATCATACTTTTATTTTGTTACTTTTTTTTAAAGCTTGGTAGATTGATACAATTATTATAGCAATAACATTAAACGAAAAATAAAAATGTGCAGTACCTAACTGTAAATACGGTTTATGAATTTACACTTTACAAAATTTAAACATATTTTAGCAGCTGCTGTACGCGATGATAGAATTTTGTGGCATTCATTTTATACATGTTAAAAGTCTTTATCAGAAGCTCTCTGTCTGTGCCATACCGAATATAATACTAACAATTGATCATCATCAGCCTATAAGTGCCCACTGCTGAGCAAGGGCCTCTTCTCACACGGAGAAGGTTTGAGCACTAATCACCGCTTGCTCAAGGCGGGTTAGCGATTTAAAACGTATAATTAGAAAGTTATAATTTCTCAAGGTTTCATCACGATGTTTTTCTTCACCGTATGCCAGTAGTGTCTAAATATGCATAGAAGTACATATAACTCGGAAAAAGTCACATTAATACTTGCCAATTGATATTCGTAATTAATTAAGTCGCAGAATTTATAAAAAGAGCGAGCTGCATCGCTCATTACCACAGCATATTCCCCTATATGCACCGGCACGATTGTAGTGAAAACTTTCAGTAAACTCAGTTCGTCTTTCAAGACCGTAATAAGCCTCAAGGCTTGCGCTCAAACGTTTTTACCATGTTCAAACCAAATTACCATATGTATTCTCCTATGAAATTCAGAGCAGCTTTCGCGGTTGGTAAAATTTGCATTGTTAATTGTGAGTTCACACTACCAACTTCCCAGTGCGAGTCAACGTAAATGTCACAATGTTTAGTGCATCTTAAAACGCCCCTTTCGTTTATCTAAAGTTATCTTCTTTTATTTGTATGCAGTCTTCCGTTGTTGTGTTTGTAAGTACTGATTTCAAGACACGTTTGAATGTTAGGTGAGGAAATTTCAACTTTGAGCGCTTTAAGCGTTAATCTGGACCATAGAAGACCATATTAAGACTTCTTCTGCCCTTCTGTGTTATACTCGTATATTAAGTTCTGTTTCCAAGAATTATGTTTGAACGTTAGGTTGGGAAATCTCAACTTTGAGCGCTTTGAGCGTTAATCCGGGCCATAGAAGCCCATATTAAGGCTTCTTCTGCCCCTAGTCGGGGTTGCAGGTCAAAAGCAATAAAGTGAATCGACCTTAGCCTAAAGCAGAAGAAGGAGCAGAGGCCTGTAGGTCTGATACTTCATTTCACCATACCGTGGGCGAAAGAAGCCAGTTGATGATTATCCTTTAACAAAAAAGGCATCTTTTGCTCTTAAATTAGGCTTGGCCGGTCTTTAACTTTATACATTACGTTATTATGACAAATTGTTCTTTAATTCGTTTGAATTGCTTCTTCCTTTTGACCAAAATACAAACTCATAATTTAATATAAAACAAAAAAAAATTTAACATAATTTTTACCCCTATTGTTCCGAAATCCATACCCGAAACCGATTCCATATCGACAATGGCCAAGCCTCTGACATTACTACTAGCAAGTAAAGTATCTGATATTGCCTGAACTGCAATACTGTAAGGTTACTCTTATCTAAGCCCCCCAGGATTTGTGGTATTTGCTCGCTTTGCGAAGCCTCTTGTACCTGGTTGCCAAAAGCAAATTGATGTTCATAGTAATAGAGGTACTCTTTTCATTCGATCGCTATCAAAAAGCGAGGAAATAGTAGGTATCTATAGTTAAGACTTCTATCTCCGCACAATCAAGATATCATGTGTATAGGTATATGTACGGAATGGTAGGCCTTAGGTGTCTTGGTAAACCGTAGTCATAATGAACTGAGGAAAACTACCTAATTGGGATTATATTCTCAGATCGAACATTGGAGGTACTAAAATGCCTTTGAAAGCTTGTTACATACTTGTCAGTAGTTTTCTTGTAAAACTTTTTATAAAATATAGAACTTTTGACAAAATCAATTCGAAACTCTATGCTAATTAATATTATAATTGGCTACAAAGACAGCTAAAAAAACAGCACTGTTCAAGATTCGTCTATCACTTCTAAACAAACTATCAGTACCTATACTACGACATATTAAAAATATATTCAAATACCTATACACATACATAGTAAGAAGGTTTTTCAATTCTAAATAACGTACAAATAACATGTTGTAAGTACATATCACAAAGAAGACACACAAAGGGGATAATAATAAACAATTTCAATTCTGTCAATTGTAAATTCTAGTCCGGGAAAATACCGGGAAACTTACTGCACTATGCAGAACGAAAACATTTTCTTGCCGAGTTGATTCCCGCGGTAAATCCCGGCACAATCCCACCTCAATCCAAGGCTCCTCAATCACGGGAAAAACGGGATTCTTAGTTTATACAAGCGAGCGATTTGCGCCATAGTGTAGTTGGTTATGCGGGAATATTTATATCAATCTCATGTGAGGGTTTCCTTATTTGAAAATGTTATTTTTATTTTTATTACTGGTTTCGACGAATACCAAGTAATTCATTCGTTGAAATGTGTAGTTTCTTGGAAATTTGGACATCGCTTGATATGTTTATATAAACATGATACTTTTTTGTATTTTCTTTATGATTTTTACTGCCTCGCTGGCCAGTAGGTAAACAAATTATGAATGCATAGTTGACGCGGTGGCTGGGCAACTGGCTGCCTTGCAACGTTTCGCGGGTTCGATGCCCGCGCAGAACAGCTCTTTTCGTGATTCACAAATTGTATTCCCAGCTGTGGGCGTAATAAGTATGTGAAATGGTAATTGAGAGAGAAACCTAGTGTGAGGTTTTAAAAAATGTTTTTTTGTTAAGGTTCATAATTTGATTATATCCAACCTTTTTATTAGTAATGTGGACCATGAAGCCTTGGCGGTACATAGGAATACTTAGCCCTGTTTAGTACACCACATTTCATAAGACTGGTGGTTTATGTAACTGGCCGACCCATTCAGATATTTCGAACCTTTTTTAGCGCCTTCATATAAGTACACGATGAACTTATCTAAAACGAATTACGAATGACGTTCTATATTTAAATTTATCTTACGTATTGGCTATAAGACCATAGTGGAACAGGCCTTTGAATTAGTAATAAATAGAGACATTAACTAAAAATCGCGGGTTAAACGTGTATATTATATTGAGAAAAGCTCGACTAGTTTCGAGCCACAGAGGGGTTTTCCTCATGAGCAGCGTGCGCGGACGCGGCGATGACTAGTCGAGCTTTTCTCAATATAAACATGTGACTAAACCGCGATTTTTAGTTAATTTAGTATGTCTCACGATAGTTATTATAAAAACCAATAGAGATATGTTTTAAAAAGGCAAGAATTTTGTACTTTTAATAAAACTTCGTTTTGAAATTTTCGCTAAAAGAGATATAGAATAAATTTTATTTTTTAGAATATTATTCGTCCTTCATTAGCATACTAAACAAAGAGAATCAATGTGCATCGCAGCATAGTAAATAATTGGTACGAAGTTAAAGTAGAATAAAATTCTTCTGAAGCTTTGTGGCGCGACTGCGGCGCCCCTGGCGGAAGCTGCGGAGACTAACTATGCGACGGGAACACTCTGAATAACGCTGCATAGAGTGTTTAAATACAGAGGCATAACAATTTATTATTAAAAATTCAATTTAATGTTTTTTCGTTGCAAAGAACTAAAAGAACTTTGCCTGATTATATAAGCAAATAGCTTACATATATGCAAATGAACTATGTTCCAAATTTTATGAACTATGTTCTTAATACAGTAATTGTAGTGAGAAAACTCGAGTTGTGTTTTAGTTT